TGACGTTTGGCAATGACATCATAGTCTGGAGATCTGTTAGTGTGATCCAGATTCATGTAGTGCTGTCCTCTTCTTTTGGCTTCATGCTCTCTCTTTGTTTCCTTTAGTAAAAGAAGAAATGAGGATTAAAAATTGTTTTATACACAAGTCTGCTCCATTTGTCATATCTTCATCAGCACAGTTTATTCTAAAAAGTCCTCCGGTGTAATAACATACCAAAGAAACACCATGCAGAGTGTGAGGACGATGTTCACAGTGAGAGACACTCCAGTAACAGCCCAGAACAGAACTCCACCGTAGGGTCCACAGTTATCCTCAAGACCTGTCATAAGAAATAACATGATAATATCATAACCCTGTTTGGGGGGGGGACACTTTTTCAACTTGATGGTTTTTACCACTAAAGTCTACTTCATTGTCAGTTTGACAGTGAAGGAAGTACCAAAGCTGTATCATATTTTCAAATCAAGACCGCAAAGCGAGCGAGAGAGACGAGTGTAGGCTGAGCAACCAAAAGACTAAAAGAAGAGGAGTGGTTTCAGCAGGAACAACACTGAGCCAGAAGAAATTCAATATTCATTTCTGATTGTTTCATGGTGGTTATGTTCAAAAGCACAATTTAAACACACTAAACCCACTGGCACATGAAGGAGTTGATTATGAAAGGGAAACTGAATGATTGATTGGCCCAAATTGGCACACATGGACATTTGGATGAAAAAGACAAATTAGTAATGTTTTATATACTAATACAGAAAGTGCCAAAGATGGAAATCAATCTTGAAAACTGAAACATTAACAACATTTTATAATCAGTAAATCACTGCTCTGGAGGAATTATAGACCTTTAAAGGTTTAAAAACACACAGTTTAACTTGTATACATACGCTGAACATCTATGTGTTTGTTGTTGGATCGTCCACTCCCCAGTTCATTTTCAGCCTTGCAGAAAAAAGGACCGCTGACATCTGAAGCTTTAACAGTTAAAACGTCCAGTCCCCATGAAAGTCTCCTGGCCTCCATCAGCTCTGTACCAGGTGTAGTTCTTTACAGCTGGGTTTGCATTAGCACTGCAAGTCAGTGTCCCATTTGTGTCTCCTTGCACTGTGGTCCCTTTGGGTGAATCTGAAAAATTATAACAGGGATTAAAGTTCTCCGTCGCTATGACGATTTCCGTCAATTTCACTATTGTAATAATTTTAGTCGGTGTCAATCGGACAAATAAAAGTCGTGCAAAATGGGTTTGATAGCCCTACCCTCAGTGCAAACTGCGGTTTTTAATGTCAGGCATTTATCTGAATCCTGTAACACAATTGTAGTTTTGTGTTTGTGTGGCATTTTAAATATAAAGTCAGAACTTTGATCTGCTACATGAAGTCTGCTCGGTGTATAGTAGGCTTTTATTGTGGTAGAGAACATCAGCGTGCACTGCCCATCATATCAGGATTTGTTTTCAGGCTTCGGTGCGCAACTTTATTTACCCGACCAAAGTGAAATACAGGAGAATGATAATCCGTAACATTACCTGCAGGCAGGGCTAACACTCTGTTAGGAACGCACATCAAGACAACAGGTGATACAAAACAGTACTCACACAGAGCAATGATGAACTTTCCCACATTATGGTCTTTCTCTCAAACACAGACTTGCCCCTTCCTACATCACAGATTTACTAATACCCTATGAGCCTAGCTGCTGCTTACGTTCCTTAGGTAGTAGCGTCCTCACATTTCCCACAGCCAACCTTGTCACTAAAGTTGGCAGGGCATTTTCTTCATATTCTTCCTGCTGTTGTCTCTCCCCTCTGTGTGCTTTGTATGTATGTGTATGCTTTGTCTATGACTACTTTTGAACACACTACTCCAGACTAGCCTATGTTTGTGTAGCATGTTCATTAGACAGAGTGCAAAACTGAATTTCCCCTCGTGGGATTAATAAAGGATAATTTAATTTAATTTAATTTAATTTAATTTAATTTGATCCATAAGCATCTCACACTTAGGTGTTTAATAAATTAAATTTATGTCATTAAATGTCAACACTGATTCAAAATCTAAAGAATTGCGTAAAGATATCCTTCAAAGGACCTAATTTAATTTAGTCAAGATTTTAAGGAGATGAGAGAGCATTTAAAAGTTTAAGTTTGACTTCTTTAATCACAAGACACACATACTCACATGTAATGTCAGCTGTTAAACTGGTTTTCACAGATGACTCAGTGCTGCCATCTTGTTTTCTGTAGACAGCAGTACAGGAGATTTCCTGTCCGTGATGGAGGTGTGATGCTTTGAAGTTCAGCACAGAGATCTTGACTTTAGTTTTGTCCTGATTCTCCTGCAGGGTCTCCTGACCTTCACCCAGGCCGGGGCTCCATGTCAGATTTGGAGGAAGAGACAGACAGGGAGCTGGAGCAGAGCAGTTCAAACTCACTGAGGTTCCCTCTTTCACCTTCAGTGTGGGCGGAGTCAGAGTCGGTCTGGGTGGATCATCTGTTCAGAAGATACATAAACATGTATAAGCAGTCATTTCTCTCTACTATCAAAGGTTTGATTTATCTTTATTTTAAAGTAATCAATGATAAGGTCAGAGAACTACTACATGACTGAACTGTAAATAAGTTTAATTTGAAACCTACCTTTGACTGAAATTTTCACGCCATCAAAATTATATTTCAGTCTATTGTCACATTCCAATCTAAATAAACACGTTTTGTTGTTTTGCATGTCATTCAGGGTTGTGGTGCAGTCTTTTTTTGTTAGGTCACCGATCAATTGTCCTTTCTGTTGTGGATTACTGCTATCAAACACATCAGGTCCTTTAATACTTTCTTTCCATAATGCTTTACATGTGTTATCTAAGTTCACATTATATTGATCCTGTACGTCAAAGGAGCAGGGGATTGTCACACAGGATCCCTTCAGAACCTCTATAGTCTTTGGTATAATGATCTCAAACTGTCCACACAGGGCACCTGAAACACAAGAAACAAATCCTTATTACAATTATACATTAACAATACAATCCTTATTCATATTGAGTTTATAATGTCTATATTGCTAAAAACAGCAATGTTCATTGCATGTGTCTCTGTTAAATAAACAAACAAATAAATAAAGTCATGATACATTTTATTGTTGGCTCTGTTTCTAAAAATCTTATCAGTATGCTTTCAAAGATAAAATAGTCTTCACATATAACTCAGGATTCATCATTTTCACAGTTATTTTTTACATTAAAGTTGTAAATTTAACACCAAATCTCTACATTATGATATCAATAAAAGAAAGCAGAACACATTAGTAGCTAATTTCTTTGACAAATATAAGTGAGCATCTCACCTTGCAGCAGACAGACAATGAGGAGGAGAGTCAGAGCTGCAGCCATCTTTGTGTTTCAGAAGAGGCAGAAAGTCTGGAGAGAATACATGTAGATTTACAGTTTAGTGTATTTCGCTCCAAGTAAACTTAGACTTCATTTTGAGGCTGTTGTTGAATGTGATCTTTGCAGAAGTTGCAGATGGAGAAATATGTTGCAATATTTGAATCTTCATCAATGTGGAAAAGGTTGGATCCAGAGTTTAGTTAACTAATCTGATCCCAACAAAACTAAAAGACTTCAAGGTGTGCAGCTTCTCATTTTAAGGTTTAAATTGAAATATTTCTGCATTTCATTCATTTCAAGTAAAGATGCTCACTATTAAAACATAGATGAAATTATTATAAAATAAAAAAACAGGAAGTTTGACTGCCTGCCTCAAAGAAAAGAGACAAGTGTTTTATGTTTTTTACTTGAGTTCAGTTTGTTTACAACCTCTTTAAGGAAACTATTCAATAATTAATAATCAGTAATAATGCCCAAAAGAAAAACTGCATGAGAACTTTAAAATGTTCAAAACTTGATCAGAGTGAATGTTTTTTTTCTTTCCCCTGTAACAAAGTTTGTTTGATCAACCTGCAAGTGCAAAAAAGATGCACCTGTTAAAAAGTAGCTTTATGACATTTTGGTTTGTTTTATTTCCCGAAAAAGGATAAAGTTATTTAAAAGTTATTTAAAAGTTATATAAAAGTTTTATAAACTTACGTTTTAGTCAGGTCTTTTTGAGCAGAGAGGTGAAGGATGTTTAGAGAAGTGAAGTTCCTCATCATTTGGCCACCTTCATAAACAGCATGCAATAATTGACTTAAAAATGAGGAAGTAGGGGTGCAGTGGTTTGTGCGCGCGCCCCATGTATGGAGATTGTCGTCTCAAGCGGGTGGCCCAGGTTCACATCCCACCTGTGGCTTCTTTCCCGCATGTCGTTCCCCACTCTCTCTCCCTGATTTCCGACTCTATCCACTGTCTATTCTCCATTAAAAAAAGGCCCAAAAAGCCCAAAAAATAAATATTAATTTTTTTTTTAAAAATGAGGAAGTAAAAAAACAGCAACATTCATGTTAGCACAGAATGTTCTGTACTTTTTATGAGTTATTTTCAATGCAATAACATCTTGATGTAATTTAATATTTACAACCCATCAGTTTGACTAGAAAGTTACTGTTTGAGATCCACATACAGGAGGTGACAACTCAAACTTTTCTGTCAAAGCATCCTGCCTAATCATGAAGCATGGAATAAGCAGGCGACTCTATAAATTACATTTTTAATCATAACACAATTGTGAAAAAAGCACTTTAATTCTTACTCAAAGTCAGCAATTGTATTTTTTTTCCAAGTGAAACTGAAGGACAGTAAATATAAAATTATTTAAAGGTGTTTTCACATTAGGTACAATTGTTTTCTTACAGTGTACAAATGTATTTCATAAGGGACATATTCAAATTTGTGGTGTTTATAGGATCAGCATCTTTGTAGCCTTTAGTTGTAGTCTGCAACATTAGGAATATTATTTGCAAGAATAAACAAACAACAATGGCAACTGTGTTCCACATAAACCATGGCAGTAAAAACTGCAAGGTTGCCAAGCCAATCCCCATCTTCTTTTGCTTAAGGTTTCAGAGTCAAGTGCTCTATTTATTGATCGTAACAGTTTGATCAAAGAATGTCTGACTTGTTATTGAGTCTGGATTGATCCACACATAGACTTTAAGGTTGTTGTCTGTTCTTCTTAAAGTTTTAATCTTCAGGGTGCAGCTACCCTCTGTGGCTGCTCCCTTTACTGAGGTGCGTCCTCTGAACTGTTGTTCCACTGTAGGAGGATATCTGTCATACACCACAGGATAATACATCTTATGGTATTGATACCAGGTGACCTGGACATGAGCTTTTGTCTGACATGGTACCACAGCACAGCTCCCCTCCACTGCAGTCACTGTTTTAGGTACAGTGATGTTCCAGCTTCTCACCTGCTGCAGCACAGAGAAGCCTTTGTGTGGGGGAGAGGAGGAAGAGGAAGGGAGGGTGAAAAGGTCAGCAAAGTTGACAACAAATGTTTATTGTTCAGTGAAGTAAGGCTGATGTCAAAGAAAAGTATGTGTCATGCAACAGGAAATGAACAACAGTGAAAGCTGCTTTTGAAAGCAGAGTTTACTGTACAGCCATTTGTCATACAAAGTAACATTATGAGCGCTGTCACTCACACTCGTTTCCTTTGGTGAGGTTATGTTTCAGAATAAAAACATCTAAAAAAAAACCTTTTATTATTAGAGATGATGACCAATCGAAAACATTCTGAAGTATTTGTAGCTTTTCTGATATTGATTATATAAACTTCTTGTAGTGCAGCACCTGTGTGTCCAATAGGCTTAAAGTTGTTCGTTTGAACTTTCTGACGTTGTTTCCTAGTTCTAGATCTTTTATGGCTGTATGATTTATTCACAGAATGAGTTAAGATATATATATATATATATATATATATATATATATATATATATATATATATATATATATATATATATATATATATATATATATATATATATATATATATATAT